AAGCAGAAGAGGAGATCCTGGAGTCCACTGTACAAGGAGGGTAAGAGCCCTCTGCAACTTCAATTTCAGTTGTGTTTCTTGTTTTTACTAGCGTATGTGCATGTGTGTGTTGGGTCATAATGTAAAAGGCAGAGCTTGCACGCAGCCAGCACAGGCATGGGATAGCTTTATTGTTATTAAAATATTGGCTTGGGGCCAGAGAGAGGGCTCAGCAGGTAAAGGTCCCTGCTGTACAAGTCTGAGGACCGAGTCCAATCCCTTGGACCCATAGAAAGGTGTAAGTAGAAACCCAATTCTACAAGGTTGTTCTCTGATCTTTGCTTACACACTGTAGAACTTGTGCATACTGTCCCCTACCCATCCCTAATAAATTAAACAAAATGTTTTTAAAATTGACCCTGGGTTCAATCCTCTGTACTTGAATCCAACAATAACCTGTTTTTGCAACTACTGGGTAAATAAATATCCTCCAGTCCCCTGACTGACCCCCTCCTACTTCAGGCCTATCATGCAGTAGCTTTGGAGTTAATGCTTGGCAGGATGAGTGTTCTCCTCTGGGACCCTGTTGCAGAGTATGGCCTACTGGTCAGTTTCTTCACTTTGGTGTCTTTTAAGTATTTTGACTCTACCTTGGTAGCATATATTTCTCATTAAGATCATAACAAATAAAGTCTGGGGGGCTGGAATATGGGGAAGAGCTCTGGACACAGACATGGACACATGGCTTCTGACCAGGACTGTAGCCTCTGTTAGTGCCTACCTGCCATGGGGTTCCCCATCCAGCAGCCTTTCAAGGCCCTAGATTCTTCATCTGAAGTTGGGAGCAGTCAAAGTAGGGAGTTGTGCCAAAGGGCCCTGTAGCTTGTGTTGGACACTGGGGCAGCAGGAGGGCATGTGGGATGGATGTGGGTTCAGGAGCCTGAATAGCCAGCATTCAAGTCTAGGCTCTGTCCCTAATATTGGTATGAGTTTGGGCAAATGCTTGCCTACTCTGAGTCCATATCTTTGGTTATAAATGAGCTAATTATAACTTTCACCTCCTAAGGCTGCTGTGAGGATTAAATGCGATAGAGGTATAAAGGCACTTAGCAGTGCTATGTGAGTAGTTACACCACTAACAGATGAGCATAAAGCTGGGGCTTGGTGTGCACAGAAATGAAGATAATGTATTCTTGTTAAAGGAGCCTGAATTTAGGAGTATACACCTCAATAAGGCAGCTACTAACCCTATAGGCTATGTGAAATTAATGAAATAGAATGAACAATTCTTTTCTGTGTGTGGTGCTAGGGATCAAATCCCCAGGGCTTTGTGCATGCGAGGCAGGCTCTCTACCACAGAGCCGCCTCCCATGCCACCCCCTTCATCAGTGTTGTTCTGTAGTTACAGAAGTCACATTTCAAGTTCTGTCTCATGTGGTAGTGGCTGCCAGGGTGGACAGTGCAGAACGACAGTCTACCAGACGGGGTGGGAAGGGCAGAGCCTTCTAAGAGCACTGTGGGCCCATGGGAATGGTGTCACCCCAGCACACAGGGCTCCTAACCGCTTAGGATAGAGAATGCAGATAACATAGGGAGACTTTTCCTGCATGTTCACAGTAGTGAGTGGTTAGATGTATGAACTGTGGGTCCAGATTGCCTGACATCAGATCCTTCATTCTCCTGTGTTCATGCCTCTTCTCAATTGGAACGATGACCATACTTGTCATGTGAAGTCCTGGCAAGAAATGGGTTGGTGCCTGGGTTTTTTTGTTTTGTTTTGTTTTTTTGAGACAGGGTTTCTCTGTGGTTTTGGAGCCTGTCCTGGAACTAACTCTTGTAGACCAGGCTGGTCTCGAACTCACAGAGATTCGCCTGCCTCTGCCTCCCAAGTGCTGGGAATAAAGGTGTGTGCCACCACCTCCCGGCTGGTGCCTAGGTCTGTGTTTGTTCGCTGCAAGACAGGTTACACCACTCTTCTGTTTCAAATGGGAAACAGGCTCAGAGAGATGACTGACTTGCATGTCACGGCATGGCTGAAGTGACAAGGAAGGGAATCAAACACTATTGCTTTGCCAGCTCCATGAGGAAGCTTTGCAGGACAGAAGTCCTTATGGACAGACGTGGGGACCAGAAGAGGCAGCACAGAGACGCTCCCTCTCCTTGGGTCTCCTTGTCTCTGTCTTTACTTTCAGGGACCCTAACCTCCACAAGAAATACCAGGTGGGGCTGAACCGAATCGCTGCCCAGGAGGTACCTATTGAGATCAAGATGGTGAACCCACCTAGCCGGCTGAGCCAGCTGCCGACACTGGAGCCCAAACAGATGTTCTGGGTGCGAGCCCGGGGCTATATTGGTAAGAGGACCCATGAATTGGAGGGAAACACTCCAGGGGTCTAGGTCTTGCCGCTCATTTGCCATCTGTTGCTTGAGTATCCCATTCTCTCTTTTGGCCCGTTTCCAAATCTGAGTTATGCAGAATTTGGCTCAGTTTCTCACCAGAACCCTTACCCTTTAACATGAGAATAATGAGGTGACTGTAATCCCATTGTTGGACCTTTCTGGGGGAAGCAAGATATCTTGCTGAGGTTCTTATCTAGGTCAGTGGCTGACCATAGACGTCTTTGTGCAAACTGGAAGATGCCTGTTTCAGGACCCCAGAGTGGCTGGAGTGAGAGGCTTGGGATTTGCATTTGTCTTACCTCTGTTCTTCTTCCCCACCGCCTTTATCCTTACACACACGCCCTAACTCTGGGCCAGGTGCCCTTGCACAATGATGAATTTATGTGTGGTAGTCTTTTTCTCCCCACCTCCCTGCAGACCCTGCTCTGGAAAGCCAGGAGCCCAGGGCTGATGGGGTTGGGACCTGTTGCAGGGGAGGGCGACATCAAGATGCACTGCTGTGTGGCTGCGTACATCTCTGACTACGCCTTCCTGGGTACAGCATTGCTGCCCCACCAGTTCAAGTATAAAGTGAACTTCATGGTCTCACTGGACCACTCCATGTGGTTCCATGCCCCGTTCCGAGCTGACCACTGGATGCTCTATGAGTGCGAGAGCCCCTGGGCTGGTGAGTGTGGGCCTGTGGGTCAGTGTCTCTGGGGTGGTAGGGAACCTGCTTTATTTATAGATGTTGCTGCCTTTTCTTACTTTCTGGGGATGCTGTACAGGGTCCTTGCATTGCTGCCCCTCTAGGTATTCATATTGTCTTCAGAGGTATTCTACATGCCAGGAATGATTGAGTTTATCTCAGAGACCCAGCGCAGGTACCCAAACCACTTTAGATTCCGTGTATGAACCTGAAAAGTCCTTTCTTCTTTCTGAAGCTTTTTCTTTTCTTTCTTTCGGTTTTGACAGGGAGGGGCAAGGTTTCACTATGGAGCTCTGACTTGCCTAGAACTTACTGAGATCCACATCTCTGCTCCCCAGCCCTGTCTTATGTAACCCATGCTTATCTTGAGCTCTTTATAGACTGGAGTCTGGCCTGGAACTCCTGATCCTCCTGCCTCTACCTCCCAAGTGCAGGAGCCACCATGCCCTGCTGCTTGGTTTTTTTCATCTAAATAAATAGGGTTATATTAGTACTGTCTACACCTAGTAAACCACCATGCTGCCACTTGAGGGAGCTTTTTTCTAAACAGATTGCATTCTACCCCAGCTGTCCTGGAACTTGCTCTGTAGACCAGGCTGGGCCTTGAACTCACAGAGATCCACATGCTTCTGCCCCTCAAGTGCTGGGATTAGAAGCATATGCCACCATGCCCAGCTGTAAACTGTGTTTTAAGGAGCTCCCTGAGTGATTCCGTGAGTTGGCAGGATGGAGAAGGGCACTCAGTGGTCTCTAAGGATAGTCCTGTAGGGAACCAAGAGAAACCCAGACTCATTAATATCTCGTGTTAGAGCCCTGGCTCTTTTATAATGAAGTACACGTCAAAGGAAGAAAAGCTTTGCTTTATAAAATGGACAAAACTTAAATAACCCCTTGCAGTCAGGAAAGGGTTACTCAGATGCCACCAGCAGCACGGAACAGGGTCCACAACCTTGAAGTTAGGACACTCGGTCAGCTTTGGCCTGACCCTCGGGGCCAAGCCTGAGCCTCTGAGCACTTTAGTGTCCCTGTCTGTAAGACAGTACAAGAAATGAAGCCCCGCGTTCTCTGGCTACAGTTAGATCTGCGTGGGCCCTGCTATATGTAAAGAAAGCTCGAGTTAGCTTCCTGAAGGTAACTAACTCAGGCCAGAACCTCTAGATGAAAAGGGGAGAGGGGCCATACCTCATGGTCTCGGGTCTTCTCTGAACTACCCCCTCCCTTGGTGGTGGATGACCAGCTGGGAGGACTTGCTTATCATAAAAGGAAAGAATGGGATTTCTGACCAGTGGCCAGAGAAGCGGCAGTCTGCTTGGCCAAGCCTGTGGAGACTGTTGTCTCTGTTTAGAGGAACTGAGCAGTTATGTGAAAGTGCTTTGGGGCCATCAAGTGGCTGTAACAGCTCACAAAGGGGCGTTTGGAGTAGTTAAGTTCCAGTGTGCCCTTAGGTGGGGCAGCTCTGCCCTGTGTCAAACCCCTCCAGGGCAAAGCAGGCTGTGCTAAAGCAGAGGCTGTTCTCACCCTTCTCCTTGCACACAGGTGGCTCTCGAGGGCTAGTGCACGGCCGGCTGTGGCGTCGGGATGGGGTCCTTGCTGTGACCTGTGCCCAAGAGGGTGTGATCCGATTGAAGCCTCAAGTGTCTGCGAGTAAGCTGTAGTCAAAGATAACTGACTTGGCCTGGGGTTAAAAGAACTCTTTCGACTGCCATTCCTGAGGCAGGAGTCACAGTTGAGAGCTGGGCTTCCTGCATCTCACATTCAATAAAGAGATTGCTAACACTGAAGCAGCTGACCTTTAATTTCCCTCCTCCTGTCTCTAAACTTCAGGACTCCAGCCCTTCAGCCAAGCTGTTTTACTGGTGTAGAGGCCAAGGAAAAGGAAACAGGAAACACTGATCCTGACCTTGCTTACAGCCTCAGGCTGTGGTAGGCTGAAGAGCCTACCCCAAAACTTCCTCCTTGTGGTATCCTAGGGTAACCCCAACCAAAGCCTGTTTGGAGTCCAGCCCCACAAATCCAAGTTCCTCTCAGTCTGCTGCAGACTCTTTCTCGGGAACTACTTTAGGGGCTCCCAGAACTCCTCAGCCCCCGGCTGCTCAGTGTCCTCTATTGCCCTCAGTCCCTTGACCTGGAGTAGCCCCTCGCCCAGAAGCCGCGGCAAGACAAATAAAAGTTAGTCCAGCACCTCTTTGATAAGCAGCTCCTTGAGGCTGGGGGGTGGGACAGGGGTAAGGCCCGCCTCCTGTAGGGACTGAAGTTGGGCTTCTGTCTGCCGTTTGTCTAGGCCCAGGCGCCAGGAGAGTCGGACATGGGCCTCTAGAAAGGGTGCCAGGAAAGGATGGGGTCTCTTGTCCCCCAGCAGCTGCAGGGCCTTCTCGCTACATGCTCGTGCTTCCCCAGGATCCTCCAGCTCCTGATGGCACACAGCCAACCCAGCCAGAGTCAACAGGGGGCGGTCTGGGCCAGAAGGGGTACCCAGGTGGGTCTGCAGCTGCCAGGCGTTGGTCCACAGTGCCAGAGCCTCGCGGTAAAGGCCAGTACAGGTGAGGCTCTGTGCTCGCCGCAGCTCGGGCAGCACGAAGAAGTCGTGCAGGTCTGGGGCTTGGCGGAGCTCGGGCACTGTCTGCAGGTGACCCAAAAACTGTTCAAAGGCCCGGCTACGGCGGGCAATGGTTTCTGCAGTAAAGTTCCGGCGCAGACGTTTACGGGGGAAGGAGATGGCAGCCATGGGGCCCCGGAATTGCCGCTGCAGGTTTCTGTGCAGCCGTTCGAAGTCCGAGTAACGGCGGGAGATCTGGGCTGGCTGGCGATCTGGTGGCCCTGGGCCAATCACGGCGAGGGTGTAGAGCTGTAGGGAGGGTGGACATCAGGGCTGATATAAACCATCTGGGGGTCCTTTCCCTCCCTTCCACTCTTGGCTTTACTTTTCCACCTCAGCCCCCACCTCCTCCCCGGGATTGTCTCGGAGGGTAGAAGCTGCAGAGCAGTGGCCAGGAACCCACTCCCATCTTACCTGAGGCTCCTCTGAAATGACCCAAGGCCCAAGGCAGCACAGGGGAAAGAAAGACAGAAATGAACTTCAGCTTCGGGAGCTTGCTGCTTCTGGGAAAGTTCTCCCTGCCCCTAGGGAGTTAGTTCTTGGGAAAGCCTTAAGGAAACCCAGGAGTGAGCTGAAACCCAGAGCCATTTTGGGGGCCTCTGAGCCAATCTGAGAGCCAGCTTGGAGCTGTGTGCCACTCTGGATACATAGCTGCCCCCACATTACTGACCAACCTCTTTTTTTTTTTTTTTTTTTTTTTTTGGTTTTTCGAGACAGGGTTTCTCTATGGTTTTGGAGCCTGTCCTGGAACTAGCTCTTATAGACCAGGCTGGTCTCGAACTCACAGAGATCCGCCTGCCTCTGCCTCCCGAGTGCTGGGATTAAAGGTGTGTGCCACCACCGCCCGGCTGACCAACCTCTTTCAAACCAGACCAAAGGACAAGTCTTCAGACAGCCACAGTGGCAAAATTAGGAGTTCACTGGTCCAGGACTCCAAAGTCCAGCCTCCTTCTGGTGACCTCAGGCAAAGCTGGTGACTGCTCTAGGGAAAAGTTCCTAGGCCAGGCCATTGTTTGCTCAGGTCTGGGAAGTCCTAGTTTTGGTGCTCAAGGTCTTTAGGTGGCAGACACTGGAGAACACTGCCGGAGATGCGATGATTCTGCTTTCTCTTTGCTTCCTTTCTTTTTTGGCCCTCAAGAGTCACTGTGCAGCCCAGACAGGCCAGCCTCCTGAATGGAATGACTAAAGGAATTGTCACCATGCCTTGTCCCTTTAGTTCTTTTTTTCCTAGGGGTGGGGGGTTAGTGTGTGTGTGTGTGTGTGTGTGTGTTGTTGTTGTGTTTGGGCACACATACCTGAGCTTAATGCCATAGTTTACAAATGGGGGTCAGAGGATACCTTTCAGGATTAAGTTCTCTCTTTCCATCATGGGTTTTAAGAACTGAGCTCAGGTCTTCAGGCCATGACAAGCGCTGGGCTGTTTTGCAGGCAAGACTGTGTTTTGTTTTTTGAGACAGTTTCATGTGCTCCTGGCTGCAGCCAGCCAAGTGCTGACACTACAGGGGTCCACCACACCCAAGGGATGGGAGCTGGGGATCGAAGCCAGGGCTTTGTGGGTGCTAGCCAAGTACTCTACCAACGAAGTAAGTCACACCTCCAGTCTTCTGGAATACACTGAGTCCAGGGCCTCCTAGCCCAGGCTAGCCTTGAACTCTTGGTGATCTGATCCTCTTGCCTTAGTCCCAAGAGCTGAGATTACATGAAGAAGGCACCAGGGATGGCCTTTCCTTCTTCTTTTTCTTTCCTATTTTCTTAGATGGCGGTCTCCCTTTATTTATTGCCTGGTGGCTTTTGATCTCCTAAGCTCAGGTGATCCTCCTGCCTCACTCAGCCTTCTAGATAGCTAGGACTAGAGTCATGTGCTGCCATGTTCATCCTTTCTGATCTTTTTCTAAAGCACAAATTGGTGCTTCTCTGACACTGTTCATCTTTATCTTTAGGAAAAAGCCAGAACTCTCAGTTCAGGGCACTCTCCAGGGAACAGTGTCAAGGCAGGGTTTAGTGAACCCGGGCCCTTCCGAGCACGGTCACTGCGTGGCATCTTCAGCCTCAAACTGTGTGTGTGTATGTGTGCACGCGCGCGTGTGTTTCTGGGGACTGGGCTTTGCTCGTGTTAGTACACATCTACTACTACTGAGCTGTATCTCCAGTCCCTGCCCTCATGTAGCCCAGGCTGCCTCAAACATGCTAGGTGTCAAAGGATGCCCTCATAAACCTCTTTTCTTCACATATTAGAGTTATGCTTCGCTGTGCCTAGCATGTGTGTGTGTGTTTGCTGTGAGACAGGGTCTCACGAAATTGTCCCAGACTGTCTTAAATTCACTAGGTAGCAAAAGCAAGCCTTAAACTTATGACCCCAGCCTGCCAAGGAGATGGGGTTACAGGTCTGAGTCACTGGCCTGGCAGCTCTATACTTCTTAAATTCTCTTCTTGACAAGTAGTGCCATAAAGATGGCTTTAAACTTATTTTAGAAAAAGAGGGTTCCTTTAATGAACAATGCCATGAAAGCAGGGCTGAGGCAGGATTGAACAGTCAAAGCTGCCTGGGTTACATAGTAAGTTCAAGACCACCCTGAGGCACTTGGTGAGACTACTATGTTTATAATGTTTTACAAACATTAAAAAGAAGACTGAGAATATAACTCAGGGGTAAAGCACTTGCCTAAGCATGTACGAGGCCCTAGTTTCAGTACACACACACACCACCAAAGTTAAGCATAGAGTGGGATAAGTTACCTTTTATTTATTTTTAATTGTATCCGATGTGAAGGGCATGGGTGTGTGTGTTATGTTTGTGCACATATGCCACAGTAACATATGGAGGTCAGAGTAACTTTGGGGGGTCATTCTCCTTCCATTTTTTTTTTTTTTTTTTACAAGACAGGGTTTCTTTGTGTAGCTTTGGAGCCTGTCCTGGAACTCACTCTGCAGACCAGGCTGGCCTCGAACTCACAGAGATCTGCCTGCCTGTGCCTCCCAAGTGCTAGGATTAAAGGCGTGCACCACCACCACCCAGCTCTAGGTTGATTTTTTTAAATCTTAATATTTTTATTCTTTAAAAATTTCATATATGTATACAACATATTTTTATCATATTTACTCCCCTCTATTTTTATTTTGAATTTTCTGCTAAAGACTATTTTATATCCTTTATTTCACCTGATACTTATAGTGACCCCCCCAAGATAGGTAACAGTGGTTATAGTTGTTGGTGCTTGGTGGCCCCTCGATGGCAGAGTACTTCCTAACAGGCATGAGGCCATGGGTTCCATCTGCACCTCCCCACCCCTCTAACGGTGTGACTGTTGGTCTGTGGTCTGCCCTGAGCGCTTACCCCGCATCTCATGATAGACCAAGTACTTCTCCAGTTAGGTGCCCCTTAACCATCATTAACAGCACTGCAAGGAGGAAAGGGAGCGGAGGGCACAAAGACTGGTCCCGAGAACTGATTCTAAAATCCGTGCTCTTGACCTCCCAGAGAAGAAATATGGAGACAAGGGTGCCCACTGTACAGAGGAGATGGCTTCATTTTCTAGACAGGTCAGGACGGAAGATGACCCTTGCTCTTCGTTAAACCTTTCCACCTAGGTCCCCAGAGTCAACCCCCCCCCCCATTCTTTTCTGAGAGAGCTGCTCTCTGTTTACTGATCCTTGGTGTCTCACTCCTGTGCATGACCGCTTGCCTACCCCAGAGCTCTGGGACATTTGTGACTTAAGATTGGACCATCGGGGGCTAGGAGTGTGTAGCTCAGTGGTACAGCATCTGCTTAGCACGCAGAAGGACTTGATCCTTAACAAGATATAAAACCTGCATCATCTATCCATCCCTGCACAAAGTGGCACAGTCACCCCATGGGTGTGGTCCTTGTTACTAACAGCAACAGAGAGGGGTGGAGAGACCCATATAACCAAATATAGGACAGGGCTCCATGACCCCAGGGCTCTGGGCCCCCTGTCTTGCTGAGTCAGAGGTGGGGGAGGGTGTGCAGAGGAGGGAAGTAACAAGCCTGGGGGGGCAGTGGGGGGGTCGGGGTGACCACCGCCAGGATGGGACCAGCTAGCTCAGATAGGTTAGACCTAGAGGCAGCAAGCCTGGCCAGTCTCTCCACTTCACAGCCAGGAAAACAGGGACTCTAGGCCTAACTCCACACTGCTCCTTAGTCCTGATGGTGCTGGAGGTGGGATGGGGCTGGAGAACCGATTGGTCAGGAGGCTGCAGCAGGCCCTGGACGCCTGACATTTCCCATCCAAAGTTAAATACGAATACAAGCCGAGTTTCCCTTGTCCAAAGTGCTTGGGACCAGAGCTATTTCAGATTTGAAATATTTGCATATATACAATAAGATGTCTTAGAAATGAGACCCAAATCTAATATAAAATCTATAAAGTACATGAAAAACTATTGTTTTGAGACAGGGTCTTATGTATTGCAGAAGACTGTCCTGGAGCTTACGTAGTTGATCTTGAACTCCTGGTCCCCAGCCCCCTTCCAAGCACCGGGACCACAGGTGTGTGCCACCACACAGTTTATGTAGTGGTGGGCAAGCATTCTACCCACTGAGAATTACATGCTGGCTCCTAAAACTCATTTCCTGTACTTTATACACATAGCCTAAAAGTAGTCTGGGATTTTTGTTTTTTGAGGCGGGATTTTATGTAGCCCAATCTGGTCATGCTATGTATCCGGACTGGCCTGGAGCTCTACTTCCCAACCGCGCCAGCTCTGAAGGTAGTTTTATATGACTGGGGGTGGGAGCAGGGGATAAAGCTCAGTTCTTGAGCATGGTAGGCAAGTGCTGTATCAGTGAGTGAGCTACATTCCCCCTTGGTATTTGGCCCGTGTGTGTGTGTGTGTGTGTGTGTGTGTGTGTGTGTGTGTGAGAGAGAGAGAGAGAGAGAGAGAGAGAGAGAGAGAGAGAGGTGGGGGGGAGGCGGTGTTTAGGTGTGTTGTCTTACCTGGCTTGGCATTCACTCTCTAGCCCAGGTTAGCTTTGAACTTGTGACAGTCCTTACTGCCTCAGCCTTTCAAGTCCTTATGCAATATTTTTAAATGGGCCTACATTTTAAGCACACATCACATGAAGTTAGATGTGGAATTTTCCACTTGTGGCATCATGTTGACACTCAAATGCTTAGGATTTTCAAGCATTTCAGATTAGGGAATCGGAAACTATATAGCTACCAGTTTAGTATTTCACAATGCCAGACATGCCAAGGGTTCTTTGTGCCTGGTCTCATTTACCCCCTGCTATAATCCTGCACACTGTCCTACTGCTCAAATGAGGAAACTGGGGGCCATCAGGGGTCCAGAACCCACCCACGGGGAAGCCACTGATAAAATATATGGCCTGGGAATCGAGGCTGATCTGGATCCGAAGCCATTTCCTTAATCCTGACCCCTGCAACTGGGTCTCAAGTGTGTGCCTTGCTGCAGTTGACAAAAGGCCACGGGGTACAGGACAGCACACACCAGCTGTGACAGGAGGCTGCAGTTGACAAAAGGCCATGGGGTACAGGACAGCACACACCAGCTGTGACAGGAGGCTGCAGTTGACAAAAGGCCATGGGGTACAGGACAGCACACACCAGCTGTGACAGGAGGCTGCAGTTGACAAAAGTCCACGGGGTACAGGACAGCACACACCAGCTGTGACAGGAGGCTGCAGTTGACAAAAGGCCATGGGGTACAGGACAGCACACACCAGCTGTGACAGGAGGCTGCAGTTGACAAAAGGCCATGGGGTACAGGACAGCACACACCAGCTGTGACAGGAGGCAGCTTCTTAAAGGTCACTTTCTCAGTGACAGCTACCTGAGGACTTGCTCAAGCTACATCCATTCTCTTGTCTTGCCTCAGTGCCGTAAAATAAGGACAGCCATTTATAACTGCATAGCCAAAACCCCACCGAAAGCTGTGGTGCTCCCTACTCTCTCTTAACCAGACTTGCAGACTGCACTGCCTAAGGGTCCCTGGAACCTCACTCACCACGTACTTGGAGGGAGGGTCCTTGACAACATTGGCGCTGGTCACCTCAAAGAGCAGCCGCTGTGGAACTAGGGTGTTCCGAGACTTCTTCCAGAAATCCTGCAGCTGCCGAGCCAGGAGTTGACTGCCCCGTTGTCCATCAGGTGGGGGACTCCGTTCTGCACAAGCACAAGACCAGTCGTGTTAAGGGGCTAGCGCAAGGGTTAATGTAAACAAATGCCATGACCTCATTCACGCCAGCGAGGTGGCCTTTATTCCAGCGCCTGGCTTACAGTAGATGCTAAATATCTCCACCCAAAGCAGCTTGTACACCATGCATTTGTTTCCTTGGTCCTGTGCATTTAATATCCACAAAACCCCTGAGATGGGTGGTTCCCACGGTTGTGACTCAAGGTCACACAGCCAAACAGTATTTGCAAACGCTTAAGGTGTCAAGAGTTTCAGGAAGATAACTCAGAGCCCCCTGGATGCTCTCGGAACACGGCCAGCGGGGAGGCCTAACCGAGCCCCGAGGTTCCTGCCTCCGTCCTCCCGCACTCGCCTGCGTCTTCTCCCGACGTCCCGTCTCCGGAGGGCGGTGAGTCGGGGCCCGCCTCGTCGTCCTCGTCTTCGTCGTCCGGGTCATCCTCGGCACTGGTGAAGCTGAGGGTGCCGCTAAGGCGGGAGGACAGGCCCTCGGCGTCGTCGTCCTCCAGCTCGGAGCTTTCAGGGAACTGCTCGGCCTCGGGGCCTGCCGCCGCCTCCCCGGGGCCATCGCTAGCCAGGGCGTGTCGCAGCCGGTGCAGGAGCCGCGAGGCCATGGCACCCAGGGGGGAGCGCGCCAAGCTGGGTCCAGGGCCGGAGAGGGGCCCGGGGGCGTGTCAATGGGCGGGGCATCAGAGGCCACGCCCACGCTCGGCGACAGCCTGGGACGTGCTGGAGGCCGGCCTCTCCCGTGCGCCTCCCCGCAGGCCGGGACGCGCCTCTACCCACAGCGTCCCGAGTGCGTTCACGGAGGGTTCCCGGGATCCAGTAGGGCGGCCCGAGGCTTTAAGGGGCGATCGGCGCGTGCTGCCCACAGCGCCGCCTAGCCGCTTTCTGCCGCCGCCCGGCCCGGCCCATCCCGGCCCCGCCCTCTCCCGGAACTCCTGGAATCCCGGGCCGCTGCCTTCGAGAGGGACGCGTGCAGTGGCCGGGCTAGCCCAGGCCTCCACACGAAACTGTCCACGTTCGGGTTGGCTGTGCACCCTCTTAGACTTGTCCCACCCCTGCTGGACTCCTGGGGCAGCCCCAAGCTTTTCCCCTAATTTCCATGCAGTGCTGTGTAACTTTACAATGTAATTTCTTGGCATTTGGGAACTTGGCTCTCCCTTGAGATTAGCTGAAATCCGGCCTCGCCCAGCCTCGGTTTTCTCATAAGGAACAAGAATTCTAATACTAATAACTAAAATTTCAACTCTTGCAAGAACCTTAGTCCCTTGCCTGGTGAGAGTGTTCCTAGGCCTTCCCAGTTTCGTTTGAGTTTCACCTATGGGAAGTCAAACAGGAAAACAGATCCAGAGAGTCAAAGGTCGCTTTTTGCCAGAGATTTCTAGTGTGGAGCTTTCCCCGCGTGTGCAGGTTGGGTCTGGTGATTTATATAGCTCTCCGTGAACTGCAGTTTTATCTTTTACTGCTGAGTAACAGTAGCCAAGAAAATGATTGCTGCTTCCTATCCCAAGGCCTAGCAGGGCAGATTTGAAATTGGCAGCTAGACAATAGAACAAAGACCAGGCGTGGTGGTGTTGGTGGCACACACCTTTAATCCCAGCATCAAGGAAGCAGAGGTAGGAAGATCTCTGTGAGTTCAAGGCCAACCTGGTCTACACAGCCAGTTCCAGGCTGGCCAGAGCTACATAGAACCTGTCTCAAAGCCGGGCGGTGGTGGCGCACGCCTTTAATCCCAGCACTCGGGAGGCAGAGGCAGGCGGATCTCTGTGAGTTCGAGGCCAGCCTGGTCTACAAGAGCTAGTTCCAGGACAGGAACCAAAAGCTACGGAGAAACCCTGTCTCGAAAAATCAAAAAAAAAAAAAAAAAAAAAGAACCTGTCTCAAAACAAGGTGTCTCAGATAGTATCTCCTACCCCCTTTCAGGGCACAGGACAGGGATGACCTGGGCTTCGTTGAACAGAAAGATATCAGTTTTTAGGACTCATGGTGTCCAGTGTCGGCGTTTCACATACTCACATGTGGGTCTCAGAGGAGGCAGCTATTAGACAGTAAAGGTTCACTTTCAGTATGAAGGCTGAGGCTGGAGAAGTGGCTAGGTGCTTGAGAGTGTGTACTGTTTTCACTGAGGACCAGAATTCAGTTTCCAGCGCCAACAACTGGGACCTTATAACCTCGTAACTGCATGGGATCCAGTGCCCCCTCTAGCCTCCAAGGGTATCTGCACACATGTGCACAAAAACCAAACACAGACACACATGTATGTATAGTTAAAAATAAAATAAATCTTAGGAAAAAACTAGGTATGGTGGTTGTTAGGAATTTTCCTAACGCGAACTCTCTGCCAATGCAAAACTTCCAATCAAGCCAAATCACAACAAGCCAAATTAAAAAAAAAAATCCAGGTTTAATGTGGTTTCTGCGCTCTTGGGTGGCCCCAGGGGGAAGCTGCAAACACAACTACCAGGGGAGAGGGAAGAAACCCTGAGGGAACTTTCTGGGGAAGCAGCTTAAATAAACTGGGGGAGTGGTCAAGATTTGGGCGGGCTGTCTTGACCCTCCTTCTAGGGAGGGTTCAAGGCTTGGTGGGCACAGGGACCGGGCCTCCAAAGATGGAGGCCGGAGACCAGGATTTTTAATCCCAGCACTTGGGAGAGAGACAGGTGGTCTCTGTGAGTGCAGGGCCAGCCATGGTGACATCTGGAACTTCAGCTTGCTGGCGACTTCAAGCTCCAATTGCTCTGCACTTGCTCACGGGCAGCCTGCGAGGACAAAAAGGCTCTCCACTCATTTTTCTCCTGCTGGCTGACTATTAACTTTTCCGCAATGTATACCACACAGGTCAGGATGCACAGCCAGAGTTCAGCCGGGCATGATCGTGCACACCTGTTATTCCAGCACCTGAGAAGCTGAGGCAGGGGGATCCTGCGTTCAAGGCCTAACTCAAAACAACAGCAGCAGCAACTAAACCAACAGAAAGAAATGAAGGGAAAAGAAAAAGCGTGTTCATGACGTCATGAAAAGAAATCTGGTCTGTCCAGTCAGGCAGGAAAGCCAGCATTGCCTGAAAGTGTGGCGCTTGGAAGACTGAGGCAGAAGAATGGAAAGTTAGAGGGCAACCTGAACTATGTAGTGAGACTCTGTTAAAAAAAAAAAAAAAAAGATTCCCTCCACCACCCAAATAAGTGACAACCCAAGTTCGATTCCAAAGATCCACAGGTGAAGGGAGAGAACCCGCCCTTGATTTCTGCCCTCTGACTACCACATGTGCAGTGTGGCATTTGAGTGTGTGTGCACATGCACAAATAAAATACAAAAGTTTTTAAAAAGTGGTCCATTGCTGGGCGGTGGTGGCACACGCCTTTAATCCCAGCACTTCGAGGCAGAAGCAGATGGAGGTCTGTGAGTTTGAGGCCAGCCTCGTCTACAAAGCAAGTTCCAAGACAGCTGGGACTGTAACACAGAGAAACCCTTTGTTGAACCTCCCGCTTTGTCCCCCCAAAAAGTGGTCCATCACTTCCATTGATAGGTTTCTCATGTAAATGGTGTCAAAGTTGGGAGTGCTCTGTCTGGTTTTGTGTGTACGTGTGCGTGTGCGTGTGCGTGTGTGTGTGTGTGTGTGTGTGTGTGTGTTTGTAGTCATATGTTCCCTGGAGCTCACCCATATGGCCAGGCTGGTGGCTAATGAGCATCAGGAATCTCCTAGTTTTCATTCGGGCCCCATCACCCCTTCCTTTGCTGGGCTTATGGCCTCACATGGCTAATGAGAATCTAAACTCAAGTCCTGGTGTGGCAAGGACTTCACAGACAGAGCCATCTCCCATCACCTTTTTCCTCTTTTTTTCTGAGATGCCTCCAAGGCTGGTGCTAAACTCCCTATTCCCCATTTTCTACCTCTACCTCCAAATTACAACTACCATACTGTTTTTTTGTTTGTTTGTTTGTTTTTATTATGATTGTCTTAGTGAGGCCCCATGTGTGACATTGTTCAAATGTGGGGCCAGAGGCTTGGAAGCTGTTTCTCTCCTTGAGCCACAGAGCAGGAGTGTAGGGCAGAGGGAATACAGGAGGAAGTGATCTGAAAGCTGAGAGAGATCTCAGGGAGCTTCTAGCATATGCGATTGTCAGGGTGGTGTTTGGGGCAGTTCTGAAGCCTGGCCAGAGCGGAGCATTAGCAAGATGAGAAGAGAGGGTGAGTGAGAATAGGGGCAGCTAAGATCTTGCTTGGACCTTGGTTCTTATTGTTTCACCAAATAAACACAGGAATGAGTTGGTGATGGGTGGTTGCTAAGGGTTGCCTTCCTCCTGTTGCAGACAAGTGATCTCAGTGTCTATTGTCCAAGTTGGACTCCCCTGAGTACCATGCCTTGATCCTCTGCCTGCCAGGGGGAGGCCTTATTTAGCCCGGCCTGGCTCCTCTGAGCTTTCTTTGGAATGTCTATATATAGGGAAGAGTGTAGCCCAGTTGCCACTGTCCATCTGCCTTCCTTGGTGTCTGGTCCACCATCCCCTGGCCCCAGACTTAGTTGTCCCCGTGTTCTTTCTGTTGATTTAGCAACTGTCCATGAGCCTTGCTTACCTCACCGCTCAGCCAGGACCCTATGGATTCTTAGGGTGTGTTCCTTTTGGACCCTTCTATGCCCCATTTTCACTCTAGAGAGGATCAGCTAAACTGTAGCTTTCACGTTTTCATAAGTGCATGTGTATTTATGAATATTTCATGTATGTACATTCCAAACCCCAGGGATTTCACAGTAGAAATACAAATGGAATAACTTCATTGGAAAATGAGCTTTTTGCTCTTGGAATGAAGCCTCCAGTGCTGGGGAAGTTCACTGGGGACAGTGCTTGTCTGTCAGGCACAAAGCTCTGCGTTCAACTCTCAACATCAAGTAAAACCAGGCATGATGGCATGCGTGTAAAATCCCAGCATTTGGGGGGTGGAGGCAAGAGGATGGGGAATTCAAGGTCATCCTCAACTTCGTAGTGGATTTGAAGCTAGTCTGAGCTACGTGAGGCCCTATCCCAAAAAAATAATAATTAAAGAAAGAAAGATTTTAAAAAATGAAGCCTCAGCCTCTGACCCTCTAAGACACAGCAAACAGAGGACTCTGGAACCTAGCTTTGTAGAGGCAGGGAAGTCCTAGATATTTGATGTCTAGAACAGAGCCACTTGCTGTCTCTTCTGTCTCTTTGCTGTTTAGAGAACCACCTATCTTCCTTACCAAAAGCTGGGTTCTAAATGCCCTATCCCTGGATAAACATAACTTAAGAGAAGACTCCTTTTTCTTTTTTACTGCTCATTTCTACTCCTAACAAAGCCCCATGCTCATTGCGCTGTACACATTTTTTTTTGTTTTTGTTTTTGTTTTTTTCAATACAGGGTTTCTCTGGGTAACAGCCCTAGCTGTCCTGGAACTCTCTCTGTAGACCAGACTGGCCTGAACTCAGAGATCTGCCTACCTCTGCCTCCCAAGTGCTGGGGTTAAAGGTGTGTGCCACCACCGACCGGCTCCTCTGAGCGCATCTTCTGGGTGGGTCCCTGAGGCCTGCTTGTCCTAACTTTTCCCCAGTAAAGTTAAATGATAAGAATTGCCAAGGCTGGGGCTCAGTGGTCAAGAGCCCCAGAGGACCTTGGTTCAATTCCTAGCACTCACATAGTGGCTCCCAATTGTGGGATCCGATGCCTTCTTCTGATCTCCTTGGGCACCAGGCATGCACACAGTGCACAAACATATGCTGACAAAACACCCATATGCATAAAAAAATAAGTTTGAAAAGCTCACCAAGGACGGGGATGTAGCTCAGCTGGTAGAGCGCTTTGTAATGTGCACAAGGCCCCAGCTTGGATTCCCAGC